GTTCATGATAGATGATAGCACATGTGTGAACACACAGAGACCCATTTCTGAACAGGAAGATGTGGTGGGCATCTTGGGGGCAGCTAGTGTGTGAATGTACAAAAGCACTTGGAGAAGAAAAGTTGGTTATTTGTCAAAGACTTGAGCTCTTTGAGGTGTGTCCTCAAATACACATCCATTACCTATCTTTTTGTATTTTCTATCAGTTTTGTGTATTAATTTCATCCCCACTTAATATGCTCTACATTATAGAGAAAGATACACAAATGTAGCTCTGAAAAGAGAGGTTATTCACTGAGATTGTCTAAGAATTTTTCAGGAATTAGTATGATGTATGTTCCAGCTACTTCCCAAAGGCATAGGAGGCAGAATTGGAAGGAATCCAGGGTGATTGCCCTGTATACCTGTTTTGCCTAATATGCATAGGTCTTTCTTGGCAGCTCTGACTATTTGTTAAGTTTGCCTTTTGATAGGGCTGTTGTAATAGTAGCCTTGTTGCTAATCAAGACTGCTGACATTCAGTTTGTCGAGTCTTGCAGAATGTATTTGTCATGTTGAAAAGAAGCATGTGTAACTGGAGGCATATTCTCCAAACTAGAACAAAAGTTAGCAATCAGTATTACAATAGTCTCAAAGGTGAAAACAGATTTCTAGTCTATAGAATATGTGTATTGCTGTGTAATTTGAAAATAAATATAACAAAATTATGGTAAAATGAATGTATGTGCTATAAAGATTATTTATATATACTGAAGTAATTCCATAGAGAAAAAGTAGAAATTCACTTCATTCGCTTATTTAATGAAGCAGTAATTTTGAGATGTGATTAAAATTTTAATATTTTTTCACTAAGTGGCTTACCATTTGTCTGTATCATAGATATGATTTGGCTTTTGGCCATCTCAATTCTATACTTTGCAGGCATGTCATATCTCTTACTATTTAAATCTTGCATTAATCTCTGGACAAGAAGAGTTTCTGCCTATGCTTACCTTCAGGATAAATCACAGGGTATTCTGTGTGGGTGTCTCTGTCTGGGACTTTTTGACTAGAAGCTTTTCAGCCCTGGCACTGCTGTTAGTTTAGGGGAAGTACAGAGCCACACAAGTTGCTGGTTTGGGGCTGAACTGTGGTAGGTAAGAAGTCTGTGTTGCTTTTGTGACATGACCTAGAGTAACTTACTGTGGTTTTGAAGAGAGATTGGATTTATACTTTAGCACTGCCAGACTCAGAACATAATGAGTCTTTTCTTTCCATTATTTGAACTGTTAAGAAGAGCAGAAGAGCATCTCTTTTTTTTCTTGGCCGTCAGTATTGGAGGTTAGCCACATGAGAGTGGAAGGGTGTGCTAAAGGAAGCAGAAGCTGAAATACTAAGGAAGTCTTACAGAAAGAATTCTTAAGGGTAACTTGATTGAAAGAGAAAAATGTTACACATTTACTTGAAGATGCAGTGGAAAAAAAGTTATACTTTTCTATGGCCAGATCCAGTCGTTAGTATTTTTGTCAGAGTAAGGTCTTTATGTTGATTCTTCATAAACTTCTGTTGTGACAATTCTTAGGTACCTAACATAAAAGTAATGTCATCCACAAACGACAGGAGTGTTCTTGAGGCTGTCTTCATGTGTGACTGGTTGTTATTGGTATGTTGTAATGGCACCTCTAATATTAAAAAAAAAAAAAAAAAAGATCCCATTATCAACTGTTTGTTTTAAGGGAATAATCAATAAGTTCCTTTGTAGAAAAATTGAGAGATGGTACATATTCAAGAAAAAAACATATTAATCAAGACATCAGTGTGTGTCTGTTTTCAGTAGTCTGATGCACCAGAAGCCATTTATGAAAAAATGCTCAGATGAAGAGATCATAAGGTCTACTATTTCTAAAGCCCCATTGAGCTAAGCCTGGGTGAAATGGGGTTAATTTTCTTTATAGCAACTCCTGTGGTGCTGTGTTTGGGATCAGTGACACAAACAAGGCTGATAGCACACCAGTGAGTTGGCTATTGCTGAGCAGCACTTGCACAACATCAGTCAAGTTTCTCTTTTCCTACTTTTCTCTCGAGTGACTCAGCTGTGGGTAGGCATGGGATTGGGAGGGGACACAATCCAGGCAGCTGGTTCAGGTTGACAAGAGGACTATTCCATGGCATGGAATATCATGCTCAGCAATAAAAACAGGGGAGGAGGTTTTAGGGGAAGTAGCCATTGCTTAGAGACTAGCTTGGGCTTTGGTCTACTTGTGGGAGATGGTGCGTGATTGTCTTTGCACCTCCTGTTTTACTTTTCCTTCCTCTTTTCTTCACTTATTAAACTATGTCTTGACTCACAAGTTTCTTCCCTTGGGTCTTTCTGTTGTCTCCCTTTGTCCTGCTGGGGGCTGGGCAAGGGATGAGAGGCTGTGTGATCCTTACCTGCTGCCCATTGTGAGCTCACCATGCCACAGAGCAGCATCTATCAGGATGAGCTGCTCCAATGGGCAGTTCTGGAGTGCAAAGTGGGATACCAAACACGTGTTTAATGATGTAGGTTTCTCTTATGCACATTTATGGGGAAGTCTTCATGTGAATTCAATAGATGAAAGAAGAGATAATTAATTTAATTGTTTTGAACTTCCTATCAAAATTGTTTGGTGTTCAATTGCAACATTGTTTCTTTTAAACTTTTTAATAGTGCGTCTTTTTTCTTGTTAACTGCTACTATTGTTTACATGATCTTGGCTGGCCATTTATGATATCCAGCTAAACTAACAAAAGTGCACATGAAAAATACACATACAGCCATAATATGTAGATGTAGTGAGAATAACAAAGAGAAAAATAATACTGAACTGAAAACAAGCAGAGGGTTGAAAAATAAATTCATATGAATAATGATGACTGATTGGATTCTGCACTCTTTCAGATTTCTTAGATAAAAACGTAATCTAGAACACTGAGGGCCACTTAATATTAACATTATTGTTTCCTTATAGCCGTTCATTGTTTACTACATGAAATAACAGTGTTCTGCAAAGTCATATCCTATACGAGAGAATTGTATACAGCTACTCTGTGTACTAGCACTCCTGGGTACATATTGTAATTTTGGTGTCATTGCTGTAGTAAAGTAATTTAAGTGCAAAATCTCCTAAGATCGCTCATTTAAGCTTAGTGTTTGTGGAAAGTAGAGTGCTTTTACACTAGCTCTGTCAGGTCGCTACTTATTTTTTATTGAGTCTATTCCAGAACACTTTTCCAGCACTTTTGAAGCACATTTTCACCTAATACTTGACTGCACAGGCTAAATCATCATACTTCAATACGGTCACTTTGTATTTGATAGATATCAGGCAGGAATAATTTGTATCTGATGTCTGTCAAAGGGGTTGAAAAACTCTGTGTTGTTGTTTTTAGTTTGGTGGGTTTTGTGGTTTGTTTTTGTGTTTTAGTGTTAATATGATGAGTATCTAAGAAAAATTAAGTCATCAGGGCAAGGGGCAAAACTCATTAAAGTCAATATCGTCCCATTCATTGCAGTAACTATGCCAATCCTAGTGAAACAGTCCCTCTCAGGATGGGCTTGAGGACATACTGACAAGTTTGTGGTGGGAGGGAGGACTGAGAGTGAAGTACCACGGAGGTAGATAGGTCAGACGTTTCAGAGGTGGAAATTGATAGAAGGGGAGCAGCAGTGCTTGAAGGCATATGCTGTTATACACACAAGATGGCATATATTTTATTTTGAGTGATATCCAGTGCCTCAGTTTAATAGGGTGGATAACAAAGGCAGAAAGTTAGGATTTAAAATCAAAGTGCTGTGGGTTACATGAAGAAACTAACCTTTACTAAGTCACAGTAGCAAAAAGTGATTTTTCTGTGTCTCAGGACTGAAATAATTGCTTTACTAGAGGATACAGTGTATGAAACTGTAATATGGAATTTATAAATGTGTTCTTGTTTGAAACAAATAAATAGAACTAACAGACTTTTCAGCAGTTGCTCATCTAGATTTACTGTAAATATTAAATGTTGCAGGTATACTCAAAAAAATACATGAGACTGAAAATATTTAGTGTTTTATAGATTCCTTGAATAAGTGATATAAACTGATTATCTGTTGCTGTGAATAATGAACAAAGTAAGTCAGACTTGAAAATGTTTCCTTGAATGCCAGTAGGAAAAATCTGAAACAATCAAGAACAGAAAGATTTATGTGTATGGATTTGATTATTAAAACATTAATGACAGTGAAGATGAAAATATCATTTATCTTGGTTTGAGGAAATTCTGGTTCTGCTTGTGATAACTGGCAACATCATCAAAACAACATCTGTTACACTGTGAACTAAGCTGAAGAATACCTGAAAAAATCTTAATAAGGAATTTTCCCTGCACCTTATGTATACTTGGAGAGAAGAAATATTTTTTCTTTTCATTATTGGCTAAATGTTTTTTTAATCAGCAGTGGTTTTTTAAAAATATTTAAAAAAACGGTAATTGTGTTATGAAAATTTTTCTGAATTTGTGTACTAGTCACTTTTGAAGTTTCAATTGTATTTGTCTATGATTATGTGTTCAATTAGAAAAAGCAGAGAACAAAATTTTGTGAAATCAGTATAGCTGTTATATGCTAGAGCCACATATATGTGGCTAAAGAATAATGGGGTTTTTTTGTGTGACAAATCTATTTTTGTATGAAAATTTTGTGGAAGGTAACTGAATAAGAAAACCCTTCCCAACCCCCCCTTCCCCAATGTAATTTGTTACAAAAGCTGCTATTATTTTGCACAATTGGATACAATATGACTAAAAGTCTTTCTTAATGAGAAATGATATTGTTCTAGGCCAGAAAACAAATGGAAAATCAATTTTATTGGAAGTTAATTTTAAGGAAATGAAAGGAAATGCTAAGACAAGCTATTTTTTATGCCATCTTACTTTTAATTTTCAAAAATTATTTTTTTCTCACACAGAGAAAAAATAGTGTAGAAACTAATATCTTGAAATTTCTTTTGACTTAGGAAAAGCTGACCAAGAGACTCCTGTGGCAGGAGATAAAGACATAAACCAGCCTTCCAGTAATCAAAGTATACAAGCAGAGATACAAGAGCAGTCCATCTGGGGAAATTGCACTGATGGTGACCTCATCAGAAGTAAGTATTTCCAGAACAAATTGCTGCTGTTGAGGCTTGCTTTCACAGTGTAACAGGATACTGCTTGTTGACTCTGTTAAATGTGTGTCAAATGCAATTTTGTTGCAACTGTAATGCACATCTACTGAATTTATTTCCCAGATTGACTCCTGTCAGCATGCATAAGCAACAAGTATAAGGAAAGGTGTGATTCTAGTGGTGCAGTATGGGATAGACCTCTGTAGCACCTCAGCTTTTAAAGCCTTAACATTACATTCTTCTCTTGTCATTAATAGTACCATAGTTAGTACTGCATGTATGCAGCTGTGCTAGGTGTCATCACCCTCAATTTCCCAGGTTACACATATATATATAAGCAGCAGAGTAAACTATGCTGAGAGCAGTTGTTTCCAGGTGAGTACTGGTCAGGTGTAAGTTTTTTAAGAGTTTTGAGTCCTAAAGCAGTTATTTTCTAAACTAGAAGAATGCTGTAAGGTAAGGTTTTAGACCTATGCTGTGAAATTGTGGAGTTTTTAAATTAGTTTTTACAGGTCCACATTCCTAGTGTATGTCCTGTATGCTTTAAACATAAAAAGGCATGCAAGATTACTCCTGTTTTCCTGTCGTGGACTGAAAATCATATGCTATCCAAGGCACTCTCCTAAGGCAAAAATATTTCAGCCAAATGCCAGAGGTAATACTCAATAATGCTCTAAAATTCTGTGAATGCTTGAATGTTAGTTGCTCAAGGGAGGGGCAGCATGAGGAACTGTTCTCTAATTATTGGGTGTATTCAGAAAGAAAATGGACTAAATGCAGACTGGTGCTCCAGCTCTCTTGAGGTAGTCTGATCACACATTTCAGCAATAGTCTCTCTTTACAGTACACACTATATTGTTGACAGTGGGGTAAATTCATATTTCTGAACCTGCTGTTGTCAAAACTGATGATTTTTTCCTGCAAAAAAAATCTTCTTTTTAGGTAGTTTTTTCATTAGTTTTGTTATTTTGCTTAGTTGTTTTTTAGTCTTATCTGTACATTCATCTTCTCCAGAACTTTGTATTAGCATTTGAAATTCTTTTCAAATCTTAGTTAGTCCTTTTTATTTTCTAAATAATTAATCCCAGTAAATGCTTAGACCTCTAATGTATTGAATAGTTACCTAGATCCTTTACAGGAAACTTGAATTTAACATGTCAGATATTTATCTAATGATTTAAAATAATTCTTAAAGGGCTACAAACAGGGAGAATTGTCCCGCACAGCTTGAGAGTTTAGTTAGTCCCAAATTAAGAAGTTTAATATTTTAAACCTAACTGTCCCTGGACAAGCAATTTCTTTGTGCTTATGTTGAGGATATGGAAAGGTGTGTATGGCATCTTCTGCTTTTGGAATAGTCTCCTCATTCCCTCTTCCTAGAAGTTTCCTTATTCCCAACCCATGCAGATTCATTTCATAGCAGTTAGCAGCATGCCTTAACTATGGAGGAAAGAGGAGCAGGCACTGTAGGGTGATTCTGTGCATCCTCTAATCTGTTCACCACCAAGACACACTGCAGTGGCTGCACTGGGGACTGTGAGGAAATGATACATTTTTTTCAACATACAGCAGAAATTGCAGCAGATAGTGGAAACTCCTAGTAAAGTGACTTGATGATTATATGTAGTTATATCTCTGTGTTGGGAGGGTTAGTTGCTGCTGAATTAAAAAAAAAAAAAAGAAAAAAAGAAACAAGGAAAAAGGGAAAGATAGGATAAAATGTAGAGGTAAAAGGAACTGTTCCAGTGTGCATGATGGTCCTCATCCTGCAGTCATGAGTAGCTTTACCTCTGACTTTGTGAAAAGCAGGTTTAGGTGAAAGCTATAAGTTTCTAAAACACTTAGTCTTAATAAGTGTGTAGTAGAGGCTTTATTATGAGTTATATTTGATTAGATGCTATGATGCAAACCTCTCCTTGCTTCAGATAATCTTTAATTTAAAGTCTAGATGGAAGAAACAAAAATTATGAAATCAAAGCAGTTTCTTTTTGTTTTGGTTTGGGTTTTTTTTGGTGGAGTGGCTTTATGAGTAGAGAAGTTTTTTCTCCCTTTAAAAATTGAGGAGCAGTGCTTGACTCAGTTATATATTTTGTAGTTTGCAGAAGTTTTACAACTCAATATATCTAGGAGCCACGTTTGAAAACTAGAACAAATGCAGCAAACATAAGCTTTCTTATCACAGACTTTACTTAGGTATTTAATGTAAAAAGTAAGTATTGTAGCTCAGAATGGTTTTGTTCCAACCAGATCTATTACCCCACCAAAGTTGACAGACTATTGCATATTGAAATAAGTTTGAGGTTAGAAATAAACAGTGTTTTGATTTAAAACTCTTCCTAAAAATCGTTTCAGATAGTGCATACTTCACAACTGTTCAGCACTATCCTAATGATTCAGTTTCTTTTTTTCCCATACAGATTGTTTTCCATCCCCACAGCTGATACATACTCCATTTGTCTTAGCATTAGCTTTTACTTTATAAATGTTTCCAGCATTTAATTTCCAAGGTTTTCCTTGTTTGCAGCTGTTTTATCCTGCTGTTATATGGAATTAGATTAATCAGTCAGTTTTACTGGCACACTAACAACGAAGTCCAGTGTTAGAGCCCCTGTAATGACTTCATTATGTATGATTTCTCATTTGCACTTGTGAACTCAGTTTACCAGGCAACATCAATAAACTAAAACACTGCCCCCGTTTTCCACAGTAAGATGTTTTATGTTCACCTTGCTTTGCCCTTTCCGTCCTTTTTTCAAGCTCCCTTTTTTAACCTCCAGAGATTTCCTCCAGATTAGCCTTTTCCCCACCTCGTTTGGAGCATCCCTTCTCCTCATTAATGAAAATTCTCATAATATCCTGGGTAAATGGTTAACCTTATGGGAAGCCTCAACCAAGGAATTTATTGTTTTTGAAGAGAGTTTGAGAGTCGAAAGATTACTGTATACTGACATATAAACAATGAAGGGCTATATAAAAGGGAAGCAGTTGTTTTACCTTTCTGTAGTAGTTGTTAATACACTTGCATAACTGTTACTGGAACTGTTCAGTTGGAGAAGGGTCAGGGGAGAACCACAAATATCTCAGGAATGACTAGAGTAGTTGAAAATATGCCATATTGTGGAAAACCTGCTGGAATTCAATCTGTTTGGTGTTAACAAAGGGAATAAAGAGGGGCTTTGCCTAGTCCCTAAGAAGCATGCCACAACAAACAGAAATTTAGTAAGGCAGTGCTTCAATTATAGGAAGACAAAGAGAACAAAATATAGTATCAGGAAGTTCAGTTAGACTAGGAGTAAGGTGTACATTTTTAACAGAATATTTGAGAACAGGAAAAACTGCCAAATCCTTCGTTGCTTTATGTGTGTTAAATTGTCTTCACAAGGTGACAGCTGCTATCCATATCCTTGAATTTTAGAACCTGAGTAAAGAAGAGATCCACTTTCCATAGTGGTTCCCCCAGTTGGGAAGACATATATTTTTCAGTAGAGTTATTCTTCAAAAAAATGTTGAGACTTCTTCCCTTCACAGGCACATACATATTTTTTATTTTATTTCTTGCTGTAGAGGTTCTGCTTTTCAAAAGAGCTTTAGAATAACTCCATCTGCTATCTTTTTTGGCAGTGCATTTAAATATCTGCAAACACCTTCTGCTTATTTTCATTGTATGGTCTGGTGGCCCATAATGGAGTGGTTCTGCTTCTGTTATCACTCACTGCTGGCAAGTGAGGAGAAGTGCATGTTAAACATGAAGCAGGGTAACCTGTGGCTATAGGAATAAAGCCATAGCAGTTTTTGCTGCTCTGTGTTACCACAATGCTCTGCTTTGTTCTCTGGAAGAGGTATAAGATTTTTTTCCCTCTTAGAGAAAAAAAGGCTATAAAGATGGATTTTAGAATATTTAGGCAGGATTTTTGTAGAGGACACTAGGTTATCTTCAATGTGTGTTGCTATGCAGGGAAGGGAATGTTTAGGAGGGAATAAAATGCCAGTCTTGAACACTATTTGCTTGTGAGGATTTAATCTCCTTTCCAGTTCCCAAGCAGAACCTTAGCTATGTGATATTTAAGAAAACAAAAAACATCGACCATAGATTCAAATTGTCATGAATAATTGATTAATAATAATCCAATTCTGAAGATTAAATACCTAAAATATGCCCATGTTTTACAGATAGAAAGGTCATTGCTATCCATCATTTTCTAGCTTCAATTGTCTCTTTCTCCTCCATGGAACACCCTCCTGATAAGAGTGGTTCTTCAGAGAAAGGGATACTTCTTTCTGCTCTGTGGGGATAAAACAATTTCACATGGTCTTGTGGCCACTATTTTATTTACTATGCTCTTCTGGAATAAAAACCTATATATTTTTATCTTTTCGTTTTCTATATTTTATGTTATCATTTTTGCTTTACATGATTATGTATTTAATTTTAAGGTTTGGAGATTCCTTTCTTTGTCTATCTGCATGAGTGATTTCTGTAGTTTATGTTATGTTGTTTGTATTTGGGTTTGTTTTTTTTTTTTTTTGTTTTTTTTTTTCCAAACAAGAAGTAGATAATCTGCTGTTAAGAGTCTTTGTTTTGTTTGATTTTAATCCAGATATCTTTTCTTGGCTGTTCTATGATGCACAGCCATCTTACAATTACTGTGATTTCAGATGATCCTGTTTATTCTGTCTATAAAATAATGCAAAGTGCTTGAGTTAAATGGTTCTTTTCAAGGCTAGAAAGTATGACTTATACAGTCTTCTTGCAGCATAACAGTGTGTGACTACAGAATTGTGTAGAATAGATTAATGGAAAGTATTCAAAATATATTACTGAGTTTGAAAGGTGTATTCTATTAGTTAAAGTAGTGATTTATGTACAATGTTCCAAACAGACCCAGGTATAAAAATCTGTTAACCTATGAATGAACAAAACTTAATCAGTTCAATATTTATACAGCAGCACAGTATTTGATATTTGGAACCTTCTTTTAAAA